AAAAAAAGAGAAAGCCGTGTTTTAGGAAAAGTGAGAACGGCCGCAGGTTTTTGTGGGTGTTGACACGTCTTTCTTTTTTTTTCGGGGGGGGGGTTGGTTGGTTGTAATTGGCTGTCATTGGAAAAGTAACGTAGATTCACAGAGAGACACCGGCGGAAGGAGACGGACAGACTAAATGGGATGAAAAGAGAGAACGAGAGTGGACGAGTGATCCGCATGCTGTGTGTCCAGGTCCCCTCAAAGTGCCAAGAAGACCCCGAAAATTAGGTGTCGTCCCGGGCAGACAGCCAAGTCTGACCTCCCCCCCCCCTCCCCCTTCTTCTTCTTCCATTAACACCTCTCGAAAGAAAGCCCGCAGATCTAGAGCATCAGAAGGTGTAGATTGGACATCGGCAGCTCCTCCTTCGCACCACAGAAGTGGATTATGAATCGGCAATAACGCAGCGGCCTAATTGTCGTTCTTGTTCTGGAGTTATCAGTCAGTGTTTGCATCAGAGGTTCATGGCCCCCGGGGGGGGAGGTTTCCTCTCATTGAGCACTTCCGTGGCTCGATCGATCCGTATTTAACGCGTGCAGCATACATTCGTCTATTGTTACAGGATATTTTGAAACCAACGTCTGCCTGTGAAAACTAATGAATGAATGTGGTTGATTTAAATTGCACAAAGTTGAACAAACAACCGGTGACACAAACATGCCGTTGCTTATATTCCAATCATAAAACGATTTGGTTATACCTTTTTAACATCAGGTTTAACAAAATGAATCAAAACCATTTTAATTTATCACTGGAAACACCAACTCCTTTTACAATATTAAAGTCAACGTTTATGTTTCTACTTGTTTGCAATTAACAGCCCAAAGAAAACAAATCTTCTTACACGTTTCATTAATGACTCCTTTGCGCTCACAGTCAATTTGCTTAGTGATTAAGTCATTTATTGTCTAGACAGGCGCTGTTCGCTCCGATAAAGAGTGAGTTTTTGCCCAGCAGTTGATGGAGTATTTGTTTAGTTACTGGTATTGATCTGCAGCAAAATCCCACTTATTGCTCCTTTTTTAGCGGAATGAGTTTGAAAATAAGAAAGTCGACGTGCTGGGAGACGCGCTGGCGAGCAGAAGGTCGCGTTTCTTCACAGGCAAACAGTCGGGTGGTGTCGGGCGGTGTGATGAGTAGTACACGGGAAGGGTTTGTGGTGCAGGCGTAACCGGGTCGGAGCGATCCGAGCAGCACGTATAGCAGGACAATCCGTCCGGTTTGTGCAACGTGCTAAAACGTCCGGGGGGATGTGACACGACGAAGGCCTGTCACGCTACTTGATGGGCTCTCTTCTCGTTTCAAGGAAATATTCCACCACCGTAAATGGAGACGAGACACCCAGACCGGGTTCACTGTTAATTCCAGCGGTCATTTTCTGCTGGGAACAGAACTTCCAGTGTTTTGTTTGACACGCGTTGTCATGTCGGCTCTGCTGACGTTGTGTTTGGGGGGTTTCAACCGGCTCGATCTCACTCCATGTTCACGTGTTTTCCTAAATCGAGTGTGATGCGTCATACAACAGAACTTCAGATAAAGAAGAATTATTCCCATAGAGTCACGGCTGCTTCCTGCATGGAGAAATCGTTCGGTCCTCCAGCTTGTTAAACGCACCATGATGGTATTTTGTGAAGAGATTAACGAAAGATGAATAACAGATTTAATCAGATTATCTTTCTTAAAGGAATGAAGAAACTGTATTTCACGCCGTGTCTCTCGATTCCCCATGTTTGCGTGTTTGGTTTGTTCTTCCTCGTGGACGTCGGTCCCGGAGGAGGACGTCAGCACGAGGCCCACCGTCGCACACCGGGGCGTTCTGTGGCGTGAACAGCGATGGCGTTGAGCGGCTGGTAACGACAGTGTGAACGCGCTGCCGCGGCCTCTGCTGACCCTTTGACGACGTCCCGCGCGTTTCCACCCAGAAGCAAACAACGGAGCGCTTCGTTTATAGTCTGTGTGAGCGAGTGGCCGGGGTCAGGGGTCAGGGGTCAGCCGTGGGCCGTCCCCAGTGACTCGGCAGGGCAAGATGCCCAATGGCTGCTTGGAAACACACACTGCTTTCTATATATTTCATCTTTAAATTTTAACACAATGGCAAACAAATGAGAAGGCCACCAGAATATTGTGCCACATGTAGGAGAATTTTATATTTTTTCTTTCCCTGAATTATCTGAGGAGATGTCCTGCCCGCGGTGCTTTCGGTCACAGCTACACTTAGGAGCAGTTGCAGACATTTGCATGTGGCCAGATCGCGGCTGGCTATTCATCAAAAAGAAACCCCAGCTGACAGTATGGTAATAGGCAGGTTTAGGCATGGAAATAAGGATGAACTCTGCGAGGGAGATAACAAGATGGCAAGCAGAAAGCCATCCATCAAGTGAATCCCCAAACAGACGTTTCTGCTTGTTATATCAACAACATTGCAGAGGAGGCCGAATGTGCGTTTTAAACTAACGCAGCTCTCATCTGTCTCTCAGGCTTCAAACTTCAACACAACTTTCCCCCAACAGCTGGATAATTCCAGACAGATGTTTTAAGAACATTCTCCAGAATCCTTGACACCCTGTATCCGAGTGGACTGACCGTCCTCAGCCGCTGGCTTTCGTTGACTCGTCCACCTTCCCGTTGCTGGGTTGTGTTGTTGTGCAGTGTGAATGGAAGCTGAGAGCGTTTCCACTGAGTGGAAAGCAGAAGGTTCTTTGAGATGCGCTGTGATGGATAGCGGGGGGAACTCAAAGTGACCCGCAGGTCTTCCTCGACGTGTTTTATGTTCGCCACTAATAAAACGGATGGCATCATGTCGGCAGTGAAAGTGTCGCCTTCACTCACGCGCGTTATCAGGACACAAAGAGACCAGACGCTGTGAAACAGCTGGGAGGAGGCAAACGGACGTGAGACTCAGTTTCTTGACTCAGTTTGTTGACCTCACCAAAGAGACGTGAAGCTGCTCTTCTTTCTTGAAATACGAGTAACTTGTGAGGGATTTTTACGTTTCTGTTTTTAAGGCTCACTCGTATGTCAAATTCGAGGACTGTAATCAGATGACTTTTCCCCCCGAGAAGCTGAATGTCTGACCGACCTCAGATCACAGACGTTGGAAGAAAAGGTGACACACGTGAGTCTTCTGCAGGAGCCGATTTTCACATCCATTTAATCAAGTCATTGATTCGTGTGAGGAAGCTGTGGGGGGGATGAAGGGGGATCCGCTGCGACGTGTAAATGACTCAATGTCACATGTTCGATTGTGTACGATGAGAAAATAATAAAGCTGAAAATCACACAAACTGCAGCACAATGCCGGTGATTCGGTGTTAAAGGATTGCGTTGTTGTATTTTGAAGGTAAATCCAATAGAAAAGTTGCATCCGCCTTATACAATGAATTATTTAATGTATTCACTGTCAGAGTGGTTATTCTTGGTTATTAACAACAAAATAAAATTGAGAAAAGCAGCAGATGAAATCACGTGTGAACCTGGAACCAAAGAATCTGTTTTTACGTCATTATTTGGATTAATTCACAAATTTACACAGAGACGGTCTCACACACACACACACACACACACACACACACACACACACACACTGATGAAGTGTGCTGCAGTTTTCAAAAGGAGGGACACAGTTCAAGAGAGCAGGCAGCTTCCTGTCCTTCCACATCGGAAATACCAGCCTCAAAGCCTCAGAGGCTGGATTCAGATTGGACTACACACACTCACACACTCTCTCACACACACACACACACATACACACACACATTTACAAGCCCCAAGTAAACCCAATCACATACACTCACACACACACAGGGCTGAGCTTGTGAGAGTAAACACAACACAACACATCATATCCTTACCGACTGTAACTGTGTTGCACGTACCACACATAAACACACACACACACACACACACACAGACAGAAACTCCCATCCGCTGCGAGTATTGTTGGATTCTTCCTCCTGTGAGGCTGCAGCTTGAGAGCAGAGCCGGAGGCCGGGCCCGGAGCTGGGCTTCGGCGCTGATCTGCAGCCCGCGTGGTGTCGGCTGTGGAGCCTCTGGCCGTCTGCTTCCCCTCCGCGGCGTCGGCGGGAGCCTCCCAATGAATAAACACGCGAATAACTCAGGGAAATTCCGAGCGAATAGCTCGGAATACAAATGCTGCGAGTCATGTCGAGGCTTAACCTTCCTCTCAGATTTTCTCGCGTTACTCTGGAAACCTTCACGGGTGAATAACACGCTCACTCTGCGCTTTGGATGAGGATTTGAAGGGGCGTCCCAATCAGGAGCCGGTCGGCTTCCACCGCGTCAGGAGCGTCTCCCCATCTCCTCACCTCTGTAATTAAAAGCCCCAGCCTAAGTTCCTCCTGGCCGATGTCCAGAACCTGTGCAAGACTCCACATTACTCCCGAGCAGATCTCCTCTAACACATGAACTAACTTTTCATTTCCTTCTCCTCTGGCTGGATGACTGTGAAGAAGTCCATTAGCTGTTTACCCACCCTCCACTCGGGAATTAATGTAGCGGATCACGCAGACCCCCTTTCCTCCTCCGAGGGACTTTTGCACATTTAAAATCCCATAATCGAACACCTATGTGTTAAATGGAAGGCCATTAACGCTAATGGCGTTCGGCGGACTGAGCCAAGATGAAACCTTGAACGGCTACAGGCCATTAGGGCGAGGAAGGACCTCAGCGCGGCCACAGCGGAGCTCCTGACTAAGCGGTGGTGTTTTTCGAGAGGAATTTCAAACCCCCCGTGGTCGGTCGCGTACCCGGGCGGGCAGGCGGCTTTCTGTGGGATCCGTCACTTCCTCCCAGGGAGGGTCAGGCGCATTCACGGACGCGCAGATTGTATCTCACTAATTCGACTCGCCGGCCCTCCTTCTTTCACTTCTCCACAGCCACAGATGGTCAAAGCGATTCCAGTCTGCGCGACGGAACCTCGTGTGTCTCAAGTGTTATTTTTAGCACCCCCCCCTCCTCCCTCCTCCCGTGGCGTTCAGATGGTCGGGTCCGGGCCAGAGGAAGGGGGAGTGGTAGGGGAAATCTTCAACAATGACTTCATGGACATGATGCCCAACGTGACCAGAACAACTGGATTTCACCGCTTTATTACAACACTGGATGTATGACTTTTCCTCCTGGACCTAATTCTTTAATATCCTTATTCCACATCTGTTCTCGGGGGGGGGGGGGGGCGACGTGGGACCTTTTGTTGAACTTTCCCTCGACCCGAGAAGAAGCATGTTCATCACAAGTGAAGTACGAGCAGCACCGGGGAGACAACGACATCGCCTCTTGTCTGTTTTCTTTTGGATGACAGACGACAATTAATGCTTGATGACGTTCATTAAAGGGTTGATTGGTTAATTAGCTGAAATGGTGGCATTTAATGAGGCTCTGTTTCAGCCTCAATCAGACAGACTTTGGCTCTTAGGGTTCTTTATTAAACTCTCTTCCTGTGGTTTGTGGAATCGATCACGAGGTGCTCAGCGAGGCCGAAGCGAAGCTTGGCTACTAGTTTTCAGCAGATCTTTAATGTAAATATGTATCAGCAGCTGAAGACAAAGGGGCTTGTGCTCGATTGTCGGGGCAGGAAAGGAATGTGAAGCACTCCGGCATCCTCTGAGGGTTCTCCATTGTTCGAAGGCCGTCACGAGCTCAGCTCTCAACTCCAGCACAATGGAAGCTCTTTCTGCGGCGTATGAACTTTCAAATAGTCATTCGCTGTCGGGATTTCGACCACATGCTAAGAAAGAGTTTAAATGTGAAACTGTGGAAATGAGCCCGAACTTGATCTTTGGGTTTTCCATTTTGTATCTCCGGAGCCCACGCTCGCCCTCCCGTTTTAGCGGCTGCAGCGTGACTTCCTCGCCGCGTTCTCCTGTGTCAAGTGAACGCGTGAAACACGGAAAAGCCCCGACCGAGATTCAATTGGGGCACAACGGGAATATCAATGCCTCACTTTACGGAGGAAAAAGTAGCTTTGACAGTGAACCGAGGCGATGGAGATGGTCGCGGCGGTTTCAAAAGTCTGTCTCTCCCAATTAGAGCCTTCGAGAGAAAATCAAACGCTAATCCGTCGCTTCACTTTAGCCTAAAACTTGTGAAATCCCTCATCAGCTGAGCCACCAACTGAAATGTGGACGTGACCATGGACAAGAACACGTGGCGCAGCGTTTGACCATTAACAGCAAAACTGTATCAAAGCTTCAGTTTACAAACCCTCACCAGCGGGACCCGAGTCTCATGGAGGCGGCAGCGTCTTCGCCGCACGCCGGCGTGTGGACGTGATGGAGATTGGAGGGAGCGGTTGACGCCGTGAAACAGATCGTATTGTTTCACGTGGCGATTCAGAAAGAGAACGACCGGGTTGAATTGGTAGCAGCCGTTGGACGGAGAACACAGCGGGTGAACCGCTCTGAAACGACGGAAAATAAAGAAATGATAATAAAACAGGTCTCTCCATGTGGCTTAGTTTGGTTGGTCGTTTTTCTCCGGCCGGTGACACACTGCCGGGGTTTTGTCATATCTGCTTTTAGAAATTAGCCCTGTAAATTCCAATTTACTTCCCCGTAACCTGAGAGTGTTTATGTGAACTCTTTCCACTGGGACGGACGGTGTTGTTAGCAACGCATCAGCACGCAGGAACGGATTAACTCCTATTGGTGTGCGAACTAAAGCAGATACACCTGCCAGCTGAGGATAAGCCAGGTCACGTCCAGTGTGTGTGTGTGTGTGTGTGTGTGTGTGTGTGTGTGTGCGCGCTCTCGGCTGGAAATGTCATGAAAATCCTATTCCAGTATATTAAAGTACAAATAAAAACTTTCAAAAACATACAACTCTGAAATGACAATCAATTCTGTACTGCGAGTTACGAGGGCCGGATGCAGCCAAAAGAGGCTTCACATACATGATGAACTACAACAACAAACCGAGAGGAACAAAAGTCACTCATTTTAAAAGCCAAAAGCCAGAGACCAGCCTGTTGTGTTTCATGTTTAATGCCCAGAGAAACACCAAAGGCTAAACCTACAGCACAGACAGATATCGGTATTTGTCAGGGCTCTAGACTTAAATGGCACGTTTTTACGTGTAAAAGCAACCTGTTTATAGATTTAAACATCTGTATTATGAAGCATGTATGTAGACAATTCAATTATAATAATTAGATTAATGCAATTGTGAATTGTTAACTGTTTCACTGGGGAAATCTCCTTTTGTGAGTTGACAAATGCAACTTTTTTCTTGCATTTCATTTAACACCATCTCACTTCAATGCATCATTTATTGAGTCGATCTAAGATGTCATCACACTACAGTTTGCTGACACATTAAGACATTCCCCTTCTGGCAGCAGCCGTGACCAAACACTGTCTTCAAATGGCAGGGATTTGAAATCCCCTTAAAAAGGATGTCACAGAGACTTCTGAACATCTTACGGACACTGAATGAGACAGATGGGGGGGGATGAAGATCAGAAGAAGCCCGTGAGAAGCCTTTTAGCTATTTCCCTTTTGTCATCGGAGCCGTGATTGTGGTACAGCGGGAAATATCCTTCATCTGCTCAGCTGTCCTGTTGATCGACCTGTGGCCCTTTAGATCTGAGTCGCATCGCAGCGACGATCCGTCCACAATGTCAACCTTTGGTTTTCGAGGCCCTTTATGACTTCATTTCTCAGCCAAGGCCGTGCAGGGAAATCGTTTGTACCGCGTCCGAGCACAAATTTCCTCCGGCTAATGAACTCAGATAACTTCTGTCGTGGCAGCGAGATGATCACACGATGACCCGTGACGTCAACGTGGCGCTGACGAGTGCCGACATCAGCGCGACAAAGGCGCAGCAATTCTTCCGATTAGGATCAGGTTTAACGATGATTTTTCGAGTCCCGGTTCATCGGAAAAGTTGCCGTGCGGCCCGTCGGGCCCGCGGCGGCGTCCGCAGACATCGTGGGCTTCGCTGAGCTGACGGGAACCTCAGAGGAACGTAGTGGCGTGAAACCCGAGTGCAATATTGGACTCGTCAACGTGGCTGATGGTCGGATAGCAGGCGGATAAAGGGATAATCCGCATCAGTGCGACGAGGCGCCTTGAACCTCATTTACTTACCACCCGAAGGGGAAGCGGAACGCGCTCATTTGGTGGGAGTGTTATTCTGTTGTGGACGAGCGAGCGCCAAGTATCCCGGCATACCTGCGTGCGTCGCTGACTGATGGGAGTTTATTGACGATAACCTGGACTCCAGGAAAAGATTACGTTAAAACGGGCCTGCTAATCCGTGTCGATTGTACGGTTTCCCTCTCACACATTCGCCGCTCCTCCGAAGGCCTTTGCGGTCATCGACGTGGGAGCAAACCGGTCCGCTGAGCGCGTCCCCGGCACGCGGACGCAGGGCGGCGCCGCACTAATCAATCGCATATGCAAATCTCTTATCAGAGCCCAGAGGGGCCAAATCACAACTTCCTCCTTCCTGGAAGAGGCCATGTGGCCTCCCGCGGTCACACCGGAGCCCAGAAGATAGCATCGCTCACGTGGAGGCTGAGTATTAAGGCCCATGGGAAGGGTTACATTTATTCTAACTCTTTTCCTTTTTGTGAAGACAGAAGACAAGAAGGCACAACGTGAATATTGCACAACTAAAAGTTTTTCCCACATTTTGCGGGACGCTGTTATATTTAATTTAACGGTTTCCTGCTGAACCGAGGATTCATTAAACTATTCCCTTCAGCTTTAAAATATGTCTTTACAAGATCTACTTCCTCCTCTGATCCAAGTTCTGGATTCACTCTTTCAGATTAATTCGTTCGACGAGGACTTCCGAAGATAATAATGATAAAAATGTTAATCGCTCACTTCCCCCGGTGGACTTTCCCTGCAGGCCTGGACTGTGACGTAAACATCTAGTACCAGAAGCTTCTCCTCTAAGCTCTGAGCCCCGTGGTTGGCCTGAAGCGGAACACGCACCAGACCCATTTGAGGTAGCAGAGTGACGCGTTGTGGACTTTCGCCCCCCTCGGCCCTCCGGTGTGGCTCTGACTCTGGTTCCTCCACGTATCCCCTGGATTTTGCAGATCCTCCGGGCGCTCTGCAAACACGCTTGATCCCTTTGCCGTCTCGGATGTCACATCTCCACCGTCGCGGGTGAAAGGTGAAGGCGCCGCGGCCCGATGTTCGAGGTCAGGATAAACGTACTTCACGGCGACGCCTCTGTGTGCGGACGTTCGTTTCCTTGGCGGCCACTCGCGTGAAGTCTGTTCACTTCTGTCTTTCCGTCCTCCCCTTCTGTCATTTTGAGGATTTCCATATTTGCGGAATTCCCCCCTCGGTGTTTACGTATCTGGGCCATCTGCTTTGTATCTGCTGTCCAGATCCGCGGGGCGTCTGGGGGGGGGGGCGACAACAATTCCTACGACAAGTTTCCATCCTGCTGCCATGGGAATTTTAAAAGAAACTTCTCAAAAGTCACCAAAAACTGAGGCAGTAAAAACACAAAAAGGATTGTTCATAAATGTGTTTCCATCATCAACAGCTTTTATTGTACCACACCAGTAGAAACTACCTTAAAAAACAAAGCGTGTGTTGAGAACCCTTCAGAAGAAAGGAGAGGGTTCAATGGAAGAATGATGGTGACGTGTTTATTGTTTAATCATAGGTAGCACATGACGTGTGAGAACGGCCTCCTTTATGTGCACAAGCCAGAGGCATAGAAGGCAGAGGAGAAGAGGACAAAGACATGAAACAACATCGCTTTCCCTTCTCTCTCAGAAGCCTCCATCAATTAGCAGTAATTCTAATGGCCTCTTTCGTGAGTCAAAGCTAATTAAAGGCCTGCATGTGCTTGCAGCCTTTTCCTGTCAAGGATTTTTTTTTTCCATGCAAATGCAAATGTAATCTAACTTCATAAACACACAACTGATTAAGGGCAAATATTTGCCCTCTTAAAATGTGCGGAGCGTGAAAGCATTTTAATTAAATCAAATGCTGTTTTTTTCTTCCCTCTGTTTGCAGAGATTGAGGCCAAGGAGGCCTGCGATTGGCTGCAAGCGGCCGGCTTCCCTCAGTATGTGCAATTGTTCAAAGGTAAACATAAGGGTGTTAGTGTAATCGCCAGATATCCACACGGCAGAAAACAAGATGATGCAAACAATGTCTTAGTTTCATTGTGTGTCTGTGCGTGTGCGTCAGACTGCAGGGTCCCCGTTGACATCGAGTGGGCAAAGCGGGATCACCACTTCCTGGATGAGGACGCCCTTGATTCCCTCTGCAGGTAACGCAGGCGCGCAGGTGCACTTCTGCGTCCGCGGGGACGCCTGGTTATGAATTTGTGAACATGTTTTTCTCTTGTGTATCGCTTTTAACTGTAAGGAAATGTATAGTCTCACTCCTTTGCAGGAACATCCTGCTTCACATTCTGTTTCATAGTCAATGAGATGCTCCGGTGGAGCAGTTAGAGGTTTACAGACTTGCTCAAGGGCACAACAGTGGTGGTAATGAGGGGCGGGCGGGTGATGCTGTTTCCTCAGATTCATCTCACTGGGCCGGGAATTAAACTGACTGCCTTCTGGTCACAAGCCTGTGTTTTAAAAACTAAGTTAGCGGCTTTTGTGTTCTGATAGTAACCCGTGCATTCTGAAACATAAGCTCCGGATTATTCCGTATGCTAACATGCGTATGAGAAACAGAGAGAATGTGCACGGCGGTTCCTGCACAACACTGTCCGTCTAACACCCGTCCACTTTAATCTCTCCTCCCTCTTTCAGGAGATTAAGCACTTTAAACAAAAGTGTGGAAATGAGGCTGGAGCCGAGATCGAAACGCAGGGTGAGTGAGGAGAGAAAACACAAAGACAGACTCTCCCATCAAGGCAAGACGAGCCGAGGGGCGGAGGAGTCACCGTGAAATCGCCCCATTAAGCGTCACTTGATTTGGGCTGATATAAAGCGATCAGTCGTCCTCCAGTTCATCCTTCTAGGAGAAAAGTAAAGTCTAAACAACTACGAAGAAAAAAGGATGAGGATAATGCAGAAGGATATGATGATGTTCAATGATTTTCATCCTGAAATGATAAATGGTTATATTATATAGATGAACTATTCTGTTTGCATGTTGTTGTGCATGCCTACAGCATACATTAGTGTCAGTGCATATTCTATCACACTGTAATGTTGTTGTGCTTGAGTTTAAGCATAAACAACAGTGGTAAATCAAGATGTTTGTGCACTTTGCCCCCTCATTCTTCTTCCAGGGAGACGACTTTAAAGACGAGGACTTCTGCGCCATCAGCCCCAACTGGACGTACGACAAGCGGGACCGCCGATGGCGCCGCCTCGACCCCCCGATGGACATCCTCTGTTCGTCTGAAAGCATCACCGGACGGCAGAACGCTTCCCCGCGTGACGACGGTGACCGCCACGACGTCTCCTCCATCCAGAGCTCCAGCAGCACGGAGAGCGAGGGCCGCAGCGGACGCCGCAAGAGTCCCACCACCGCGACCCCTTCAGACGACCGCGACACCGGCGGGAGCTGCTCCCGCTGCTCCTTGACCCACAGGACGCTGATCGTGGAGCCCTCGGTCAGCGGACCCCCCTCCCCCGACGGGTGTGGCCGGGCATCGTACACCGTGAGCGTGGACGCCGAAGGCTGCTTCCCAGAGAGGAAGAAGGGAACCAGTCTGCTGAGGAAGATGGAGAAACTGAGACTGAGGGGCCCGACCGGCCTCCTGTCCTCTGCTCACAGTGGGGGTTGTAGAAGCAAGAGTCGGGCCGGCACGCCGGTTCAGGTCCAGGAGGAGGAGAGGAAGCGAGGCCCATCAAGGTGAGGATTGTGGATCAAAGTGTCTTTTTAAGCAGATCCCCCGCAGTGCAGCTAAATCCCATAAAAAACGATGATAGTCGCAAGAGTCACTTATGCCTACTCTTCTTCTTGACAACGGAGTATCGTTTGTGATGGACTCGTACCTGCAGGTCAGGTACGTGTGCAGCTCTAACGGCAGAGATCTACCCACCTGAATGTCTTTTCCAGCCTGCAGGTTGGACCCGACAGCCGTTCGTCTTCCTCGCCCTCGTCCCCTCTCACCGCCAGCAGCAGCGGCAGCCGCTCTGAGAGCAGCAGCAACGTCAGCACGCCGAGCCCGGTCATCCGGGTCCGGAGTAACTGCAAACGCCCCAACGGCGGCGTGGATGGCGGAACAACCCGGAATGACCAGAACAACACAGAGGTCAGGCCCAGAAATTACTTTATATCAGGGCTGTCAACATTAACGCCTTAATCTACGCGATTAATGTGGCCGAGAATAACAATAAAATGTTAAAACAACGAAACCGCGGCTAGCTGCACTCAGTTAGATCGGAGAGAGCAAGTCCGTAGCTGAAGATGGAGAGAGCTTTTTGCATTGGAAGAAGCGTGCAGAGGAATTCCTCTGCAGTGTCAAACAGAAGAGGGGTGAGTGTCAAACGGACCCCTTTACCCACTGCTGGGCTAAGCTAGCTGCTAGGATAAGCTAGCTGCTAGGCTACTTCCATCTGAACATCCACCCTGCAGAGGACCACCACTGTGTAAAAAAAAAAAAAACTTTTAATTGCGATTAATGTATTTCAAAATATGCGATTAATTAGTTAATTTTTTTAATCTATTGACATCCCTACTTATCTTATAAGCACACTGATCCGTTAAATCTGTTTCAGTGGCCGATAGGAATGTTATTAGCTTTACAAATAGTACATTTATATTAGTTTTATTAACGCAGTGCCGCACTATTGTCCTACTATTGCAAGACCAGTCTGACAACACCGATCCTAAAATACAAACTCTTAGATGGCTAACTATAATGCAGCATGACATCATCACAGCTTTCTTGCCTTAATACTTATAAGACAAGACCTCAAGAAGGGTCAGTGCAGAAGTTTAGGCCGACATAGAGACTTTAAATGATGTTAAATAAATGCTACTTTATACTCCCTGATTACTTGATTCTGTCCTTCACTCGTCCATCTGTTCCCCCTCTCAGGATTACAGGAACCAGAACATGAACAGCAATAACAGCAGCCCCGACCGTCTGATCTTCCAGATCCCCAATGGCCACAAACCGGGAACCTTCCCCACCTCTCTGGCACACAACCACAGCCCTCTCTCCCCCGTCATCGACGACACCTCCGTTAACTGGAGGACCGGGAGCTTCCACGGCTACCGGGGGCGGCACAGTTGCCAGGGCGCCGGCCCGTCCTTGCTGGCCACCGGCGACCGGGCGGCAGGAGCCGCCAGCCCGCTCGCCGCCCTGGATCATCGGCTGAGCATCTACGACAACGTGCCCGACGACCAGCCGCTGTCCGAAAGCGAAGGCGGCAGCGGGGGGAGTGTCAGTGATGCGGAGAGGATGGGGGAGGAGTCAGAGGTGGGTTCAGAGACTCACTTTATTTTAGTACTTTAATATTTATCTTTAACATATATTTCAAGGTTGCAAATCGTCCAGTCGCCTTTAGGCCTTATGCGCTTCAAACAAAGCACGTCTCAGATCGTTTAGCAGCGGCGGAATATGACATCTGATACTTAATCAATTAATAACTTCAAACTCTAAAACAATCCAACAATCAAAGTGTTTAAAGGTTGGCAGGGTTTAAACTTCTCTCTCAAGTTCTCTACCTGCACTACTTTCCGAATACAAAATCATAAATATCTAGAGGAGAGACAACACCGTCCCAATTTGGACATCTTACTGCATCAGTAACAGGAATCATCAGGTAATGGCTTTTAGGTTTTATTATTTATATATATTTTATTTATTTGGTCGTTGCCATTTTCTCCTAAAAGTGACATCAAACTATATCTGCAATAATTAAAAATGAATCATGATGAATTAATCCATTTTATCTGTCCAGTCAACTAGTTCTGGAGAATTGGGAGAGTTGATCTTTTCCGAATGGTTTTCCTCTCCAGGGGACTCGATTGTTGGCAGGTGAAGACGTCTTCTCTGCTCTGGACGGCGTTCTGGAGAGGATCGGCAACCTCCAACGACTAGTGTCCACGTGGACCGAGAATCTATCCGAGGAAGACTGTCAGAGAGGTTCCTCCTCCTCTTCTTCCTCCTTGTCTACATCTTCCTCCCAGGACTCACCTGGTCGCGGCTCATCGGCGGCCTCCCCGTGCCCGTCTTCCCCCAGCCCCGTCCACTTGGAGGCGCAGGAGGAGGAGGAGGAGGAGGTAAAGAGCCAGGAGGAGGCACATTTGAATGGAGAAGAGCCCAAGACCAGATCATCTCAGCCCAGATGCAGGTGAGAAAGCGTGCAGTGTCATTTACGTAAGATGGAATTAAATGGTTTAGTTATGGAACATCTGATATTTCACAGGTCAGGGTAATTTAAAAAGAAGGCCAACAATGGATCTCCTGTTCCTGAGTTCTTTGTCCTTCAACTGAATTAAAAGTTCATTTGTTTGCTAGATATTGATCTGCATCAAAATTCAGTTCAAAGAAGCTCAGGCGACACTTTGAATCCCCCCTGAATATTTGCGAGCGGACGCCTCTGTGCCCATCAGGGCGCTGATGATGACACTTATGGTGATTTATTCCCTTGGCTCCAACCAGAGTATAGGTGGAATTACTACGAGGCACTAAAGATAAAAGCAGTAACCACATGGCGCACAGTTTTGATCGGCTCTTTATAGGGCAGCTGTTATCTCTTTTTGTCACATATTTGTTCTGCGATATAGAGCGATAAAAAGCTATGAGGCCTCTCTTGCGCGGTGAAGCCGGCCACATCATCATTGTTTGCTGATGGATTGCCGGATAAGTTTCAAAAAAGCTAACGTGAAATATCGGGTGCCCACCCAACAGGGAAAACGTTATAGGAGTTTTAATGAAAGATAAGGGTACGCCAGGGTATCAGGAATCAGGAATCAGGATGTCAATATATCCTCACGTGTTCCCTGCCGTTAGAATTGGTTCATAACATCTATGTTGTGTTTGATGTGCGATTTGTTCAAACCTGGCGTCCAGGCGAGCGTTTGAGCGTCTTCGCGTCCCCGTGTCCAGCAGAGCGAGCCAGCAGCTGCACCGGTCCAGCGAGCAGAACCTGCCCCCCCTGCCCGCCGGTCCGGGGGTGGAGGGCCAGTCCGTGTCCCAGCTCCTCCTGCTGCAGAAGCTCTCGCTGCTCAAACTCACCGCTCTGATGGACAAGTACTCCCCGTCCAGCAAGCAGGGCTGGAACTGGTAAGTTTTTTTTGGGTGGGGGGGGCCTGATAAAAGCTGTGAGGTTCGAGCAGAAACAAACTGTATTCCTGGATTTATTTATTTTTTGTCATTCAAACCTGCATGGAGGAAACGACTGGTGGGCGGGATGTAAATATTTCACGCGGCCTGATTAAAATATTCATACCTATTATCCGTGGCTCGGGTACAAGCTTTCCTCGGCGTGGAAGCAAACTCGAAGAGCAACAAGCTGCGTCGCGGGAAAAGAACAGTGGGGGTTGTGGGTGCTTGTGTTTCTCTGTTGCTTTTGGGTTTCTTGGTGAAAATGCGGAATGCTTTCCATTCACATTTACATGGATTTATTGAGATCAGTGTTTTTCCTCCCACACTGTGTTTTCAGAATAAGCTGTCATGCAAAATTGAGTTATGCTCACGGAGAATTGAGTAAAAACAAAAAATTCTGGAATCACATTCCACAGATATCCGTGCTTCATTTTCAGGATGAGACGGGGGGGGGGGGGTTCAGGGATAAAAGCCGCTCACTGGCAGCTGTTTGAAAAGCATCAGAGGGCCTCCTGTAGTTCTGTGCTGTGGTTTAGCAATTCAAAACTGCTGCAACAATTCACATGAAACGGAGCGAAATTGAGGCGGAATCACGGCAGGACTCCACGTGAACCAGAAAAACGAAAACATGAAGCTATTGTTTTGTTTAACAGTTTTAAATGAGCATTCTGAAGTGCAAATGACTTGTTCCTGCACAAATTTGAAGAAAACTCCGGTTAGATTCAAATTCAAATAGAAGTGGAGCCGTTTGCCTCCTCGTGCTCCATCGAACCTCCTCATGAACTCTTTGCAGGATAGAAAATGAGCGTATTTTACTAAAAATATTCACTTATTGCCTCAAGAGAATTACGAAATAGGGCAGGGACACGGAATATCCTACGGACTTAAAACTCGCCCCGGCTCAGTGGTGGATCGTTTTTATTAAGTCAGACACATGCAAACACAGCGAGTAATAACCTCAGCAGCGCCGCCGACTTCTCCAGCAAAGAAACCTCTCCGAGCTTCGATAATTAGCTGAGTTCTTGTCATTTTCAACGATTTAATCAGCGATGCCACTGCGAGCACGAGATGATTCAAAACACAGCAATTAACCGCTGATTGGGGGGGGGGGGGGGGAAACGCTGAGGCGCTTTCCCTCAAAATCGCCATTTTGGATGAGGAACAAAAAAAAGAAAGACGTGATGAAAAGGGAGCTGAATTTAGAGCGATAGTGTGATATCGTGGAGAGGAGATTTAATGATTGTTGGAGGTCTTCAGATCTCTCTTCTTTTTTTTAAAACGTTGCTTTTTACAGGACTGCGGTGTCCAGAGTGGACTTTTTGAGTTAGAAAGTAAAACACATTTTAGATATCTGCGAGGTTTCTGGAGTTACTTTGGTTCAGCTGGAGAACATTAGTGTCCCACAGAAAAGAAAACTAACGTTCACACCGAAAGGCGAAGCGAATTTACGGCCCCGCTGCGCGAGCAAAGCGGGTTGTTTCGCTTCACTCGCGCCTTAGAAGGGGGCGTGGCTTCTCTCCGTCACGTGTCTCCGTAAAGAATCATTGACGCGGCAGGTGATGACGAGCGGAGCGTCTCAACGCTGATTGGGCGAATTTTATTCGCTTCGCTTCTACATGGAATCTACTTGAACGCATCATTCAAATGAGTGTTTAAAGGTCCGCTGATATCAGTTCATAACAAAAAACCTCGACACATTCCTTGTACAAATCTTGTTTTTTTTAAATGACATTTTTGTCACACATTGGCAAGAAATCTTTTTGTTTTTACTATTTACCTTCAAAAGCAGCCTGCTTGAGATTTCAAATTCGCCGGATGTTTGCAGAACTCCTCCGTCAGCACGAGTCCATGTTGCTTTCATTGTTTCCTTAAAGGACTCCAGAATCTCATGGGAATCTTCTCCTCCCCCTGCAGGTCCGTCCCTAAAGCGCTGAGGAAGACCAAGCAGCTGGAGGCGAAAGGCCGGCGGGTGTTCGGGGCTCCTCTGCTCCTCAGCGTGCAGCAGACAGGGGAGCCTCTTCCTCCCAGCATCCTCCGGGCTCTGGTCTACCTGAGGACCGAGTGTCTGGACCAGGTGAGGAGCCAATGCATCAAATGTACAAAGCGGGTCTTTGTTTCTCCTTTGGATGGAACGTCGCTACATGCAATCTCATGCTCTCTCTCAGGTGGGTCTTTTCCGTAGGTCGGGGGTGAAGTCTCGTATCCAGTACCTCCGCGAGCTGGTGGAGTCGGACCCGGACGGCGTCTCGTACGACGGTCAGTCCGCCTTCGACGTGGCCGACATGGTGAAGCAATACTTCAGAGACCTGCCTGAGCCCGTCTTCACCAGTAAACTCTGCGAGTCCTTCCTCCACATTTACCAATGTGAGCGGTTCTGCGCGACAATGCAATGAATTCCTGCAGGTTTCAGGAACCCGTTTCCCCCCCATCGACCTGCGAAACGATTAACAGGGGGACGGTCTTTCTGCTCCCAAGACTTTCCAAAGGATCAACAGCTGGTTGCGGCCCAGGCGGCCATCTTGCTGCTCCCCGACGAGAACAGGATGGCGCTGCGAGTGCTGCTGCTCTTCCTGCGCGACGTGGTGGCCTGCGTGGACCAGAACCAAATGACGCCGACCAACATCGCGGTCTGCCTGGCGCCGTCGCTCTTCCACCTCAACGCGCTGAAGAGGGACGCCAAAGCCCCCAGGTGAGAGGAGAGGACCCCCCCCCCCACCCCCCCGGTTTCCTCTTCCCTCGGAGCAGTTGGGTTGATTCTGTCAAATTGAGGTTGGATTTTTCAGCAGATGGAAATGAGTGAGAGCCCGAAGCACTTTGACCGAATCCATAAGTCTTAGTATGAGTTACACCTCAGCTGGTGTATTTAAATTATTACACACGGGCCGGTGAGTTAGCTCATTAATACAAATTGTTAGGGCCGTTTTTCATTTGGACAGAAATTCATTCATTGCTTTGAACACATCGCTGGGCAGTGAGGCATGATTGCACCGGATGAGATTTAAAAAGTGAATAAACTGTATAACTTTTGTCACAGTTTTCAGATGTTTTTCGCGGTGGTGTCATGGTTCACAGATCAGGACTTCAGCTCCTGGTTAACGTGTGCCTGAACGCGTCGGTTACCCTTCGGCAGGTTGCCATTGAGGTGTCTTAGAAAGCCGTTTTTCTCCCGCCCTTCGTGGCGTCATTGGAGGTCATGTTTCCTACTGTGCCACCTCTGGATCGCATCCAGCTGTTCCGCTCACACGTTTGCTCTGTGATGAAAAGCCGTCGGCACAGTTTACACAGAGCGCGCGTTACACAACCTCCGACAATTTCCATCTGGCCTCAACTTCGCTCCCAGATAGTGACAGATGTGACAGTGACAGTGTGAATCCGTTAGAAATGAGAGAGTTGAGCGATAATGAGACTGTTGAGAATGATAAAGGACAAGTCGATGATTCATCAACGCCTGCAGACATTCACAGATTGTACTGCAGAAGTGTCTTGATGCACCAGTCATTTGAGTGATTACACCATGGCAGCAATTTTCATTATTCCTAGACAATGTTTTCACATAAATTAATAAAACCTTTATTGTTAACAAGTCGGAAGGAAAAGACTGAATGCAATGATGTTTGGTCTGTTTCCCAAAACTCTCTGACTTCCTCTCAGCTCAGCGGTTTGCACTGAAGATAATAAACTTTAAAAAAAAACAATAATATCTTAAAACAGCTGATTAGTGTAGATCCTGTGAGAAACTAGAGGAGGAAGTTGCGTTTTTCTTCCATTCTGCTCTTCTCTGATATTTCCTTCATGTCTCCTCCTCCGTTTCCTCACTCCTGTCATCACTCTTCCTCCCTTCCATTCATCTTCTCCGCGCACTTTGCCTCGCTTCAGGCTGACGGGACAGTAAAAAGACAAAAGGACACAGGCGTCACATGTGGCCTCCCCTTTTCCTAGAACCCGACGGTCCAACCTGTCAGAAATCCTGTCACTCTTTGTGGTGGGAACAATAACTCGTCCGTTCTCCCACAGATCTGTTCAGACGTTATGGTTCTGTTTGACAGAACTCACCGCTTCCGTAACAGACGTGTAATTTGAATGCTCCCATAGAGACGTGTAATCTGAACGGTCCGACTCGACCAGCTCATCTTTTTTTTTGTCATCAGAAACTAAAAGAAAAAACGAAAAACTTAGCATTAAATAAAATCCGGGAAAACAACTTTCTCGTTGCGTAAACTTTCCAAAATAACCTGATTCTGTCAGTTGCCGATGTCCTGATGCAGTGCTGCTGATTTTCTGTCTGCTGTGACGGCGGCGCGTCGCGTGTCTCACACCGCGTGTCTGTCCTCCCGATCCGTCGAATGCTCTCGCTGGACACGGGAGGTCATTAAAGGTCATTAAAGGTCGCGACGGCGCGTCTCATCCTGTTGTGACCAAATCGTGCTCATTGTAATCTCACCGCTTCAGCAGAGAACGCAGGAGAATCTGCACGCTCGGTTGCCCTTTCGTCTGAACGCACGAGTGACCGTGAGCTTGTTCCTGTGGTCACTGCAGGTCGGGTCATAGGAAGTACAGCCTGGGCCGCCCGGACCAGCGGGACCTGAGTGAGAATCTGGCTGCCGCTCAGGGGCTGGCCGACATGATCACCGAGGCTCAGAGACTCTTTCAGGTACGAGACATTTACACACTAAACTATGCTTTATATTCATTCACGGCATATAAAATTCTACTAGCACGTATAGCGTGTCAAAAAGTTCTACATTGAAATCACATTAAAAAAGTACTAGTACGTTGAAAAGGGGGAATAAATTCGTCAAATTAATTAGAAAACATTTTTGAAGCTTTTTCGAAAAAAAAATCCCGTTTGCAGCTTCCGGAGTTTTGGCCCGGTCAACGTTCAGGTGCAGCAGGATGCAGTGAGGACTCCCTCTCTGAGGGAGGAGGAGGAGGAGGAAGGGAGGAGGAGCAGCTGCAGCTGAGAACCAAGCAACTGCTGAAGGAGGCCAGGGAGAAGAGCGGAGGCTGGGAGAGCCGTCCAGCTTCAGAACACGTGGAGCTGGACGTCAAGAAGGTGAAGGAGAGACGTGTGGACAGCGGACGCGAGGGACGATTACACAGCATGAAAATGATGTTGCATTTAATGAACATCTTTAAAAAAAATGATCATTCAGATAAAGTCATAGTGTAAAGAACATACAAATATAGTATAGATTGAAACCAGTAATGTCTAAAAAAAAAAAGTCACATTATAGGATGGCAATGTAAACCATTTTCAGGAATTTAAAGAATAATTCAAACAAATTTTTTTATGTGTGTCCCCAAAAAAATCATTTAACAGTATGTCAAAAAAGCCACTTTATAGAACGTCAGAAAAATCATTGAAGTCGTACTAAAAAAGTAGTATGAATGTGAAACCAGCCAATTCATCTTTCTTCAAATGAATATAGTACAGAATGTCATATAGAGATATATATATATATATATACTGTGTATATACTATACTGCCTCAGCTGGACGACGGCTGCCTGCTGCGGATGTGGCGCGGCTCCGTGGAGGTGGAGGCCCCGGAGGCGGCGCTGCTCCACCGGCTGCTGAGGGAGCGCGAGCTGTGGGACGGACGCCTGCGCCGGGCGGCCGTCGTCCAGACCCTGTCCGACCACGCCGAGGTCTACCGCTGCCTCCTGGAGGGGCGGGGCCACGCCCTCGGCTCGCGGCTCCCGCGGGAGCATCTGCTGCTCAGGTGACGTCCGGGTCCCAGCGGCCGCTGTGCGTCTCCATTACATTTAACGCGGTTTACTCAAATACAAAATACTGGAATCACGTCGTCCTCCTCTCTCTCAGGACGTGGCAGGCGGACCCGTCCTCCGGCCCTGTGTACCTGTCCTCTGTGTCCACGCAGCACCCCGACGTGCTGCCGGAGGGGGTCCGGGCCCACGTGCACGCCTGCCTCTACCTGCTGGAGCCCAGCGGCGCCGGGAAGACCCGACTGACGCACGTGTGTCGGACGGATGCCCGGTGAGGGAACCGGCCTCGCTCAATGATCTGCTGTCAGACGCAGGGGGACAAACACTAAACCGGCCTAAGCTCCATTTGTCAAAAGCTGACAACGGACCGCTGGGGAGTTTCATAGCGACCAAACAAAACACACTGATTCTCACTTTAACTGGTTGCTTCTAAAATAAATAAAAACCACTGAATGAGACGGTGTGTCCAAACTTTTGACATGTTGATGACTAAAATGTGCTGTGAGCCTTGACTTATTATAATTTAAATGTTGGCATGTTGCCTCCTTAAATCCATCTGGAAAACAATGTCCTCAACAAACTGATTTTATTTTTTCTAGCATCTTTTGTTGCATCCACACAATTAAAACGGAAAATAATCGTGTCATTTAAACCAGCAAGGCTGAAAGTTGTGTATTTCTTTTCTACCGAGCTTTTCGTCTGAGATCCTCCTGGTTTTATCTCGCAGGGGCCGGTCGCAGGAGTGGGACGGCAAAGTGAGCGGACTCCTCCTGGCGCTCGGCCTCCGGGCCGTCAGGGACTCCTTCAGGGCGGAGCACGGAGACACCCGGACGCGAGCCGATGGGAGCTGAGCAGGATGTTGGACGTTGCACACAAGACCCTCACACAGTAGAAAGCTGGTGGGCCCGGAGCGCTGCGAGGGGCGGAGGTGACCTCACGAGAACATCGCTGTGTGTTCTTCTTTTTTTTTTGTTTTTCGTCAGTGACCTTTGCGGTTCGCCGGCGGCGCTCAAGCTTCGCACTCGAGATCACAGAGAAACGCAAACCCCGGCGAGCTCTGACAGAGGACGACGTGAGACGCAGGGGCCCCATTTCACTGAGGGGAACGGGCGAGACGAGAAGGATGAAGTTTGTGCTCGCCATCTTGTTCTGCCCCTGAAGAGAAAAGAGGCGGAAACACGCGGCAGCGGTCTGGTCGAAACCAGGAAACGGACGTCAGGCCTCGGTTGAGAGTGGAAGCCGAGGAGGCCGACGTCGCAGAGAGGAACTGGACACGGCGGGGGACGGTGGGGGGGCAACCGTTTTCCCCGGGTCTCTGATGCCGTGACAGTTTCTGGGCTAAAAAAGCTCAGAGAAAAAAGACTCAATCATCACGTCAGGTTAACTGAACCGCTGAGGTGAAAATAAATAAAGAGTATATATGTGTATTTTTTAAACGCAGCACAAAGCAGCTGCATCCGGCTGGGACTGCCCCCCTACGAGTCCACCCATCCGGGAAGAACTTGTGTGTGACGGTTGAAAGACGAGCGATATCTACCTCTCCACAGGACCACGGGGTCCTGGGGGTGGAGGTTGGGGCATTTGGCATGCTGACATCCAAGTTTATATATTATATACATATAATATGTATACATATCAGTGTCAGAGTGACCAATCAGAGCATGCCTGTGGATGTAAAAGTAGAATGCATTCAATTGTCATTCTTGAGATTATTTAACTTAATGTATATCTTACATCTGCATGAAAAACTCTTTATTTAATTGCGAGAAGCGTCTGTTCTGATTTGTCGGTGCCAAACACCTAATTAAAATGTTTACTTCTCCCCCTGAACCCGTTTCCTGTTGTCGTCGTCTGTGACTCGTCAAAGTGCCAAACAGATTACTGAGTGTGGTTTGTACTCAGGCATATTTAGGCGCTAAATGCTCGATTATAGTTAACAAGTGTAAAGTGCTTTCACTTGAAACAGCCGTGTGCTGCAGCTGGAGGTCGAGGAGGAGAAACTCCAGCTCCTCCAAACCACTCGGGCCTTCCAAGGTGGGCGATCGTCCAGCCCCGGGACCCGGGGACCCGGGGGGACGAGCTGAGATCCGTCCGTCCCATCGGGGAACGTTGTTTCTCTCCTCCTGGAGCGACTGTCACACCTTCACCACCGGCCTTCAGCTCAGAAAGAATCTCTTAATTAATCTCTCATGGATCTGCTGTGGGATTTACTGCCTGAGAAGGTACTGAGATGAGCCCTAAACTGCCGGGAGGTTCTGAACGAGAAAAGGAAGGAGAGTGAAGATATTTTATAAGTTTCAAAGGGCCTGACAAGTGTTGTAGGACTTGACTTGAGGCAGTGCAGATGGATTTAACAATTACAGGCCGCCTCGGAGTGTGTGTGATGTGTAATTAACTCCTCCGGACTAACTCGGACTTTAAATTTCTTCTGAAGGCAAAGATCGTAATGGACAAAGGAGGCTCAAAACTACAGGATCGGATCCCAATTCGTGCTTGATGGAACTCAACTAGCACGAGTCAGTTTTCACAGTGAAAGACGATGCAGTTATTTTGTCTCAATCTCAGCTTTTAAAAGCTTACATTTTCTCAGAATCAAGTCTTTTACTCCAACACTTTTTGGGTTGAAGATCAAATCGCATTGATCACGACGTGAAATCTGGCTCCAAACAGAGATCCGCAGTTGGAAAGTAATTGCCATCAGACGAGGGGGATTTTTGGATTTCACATTTCTTTAATAAAAAAAAGAAACTTCACATGAGATGTTAATAGCTGGAATCAACATGATTGATTTTGGCTCCCAGGATGGATACAATTAACTATTTTGAGATTCATCCTTAAAGTTCACCAAGTTTCTGGCCGTGACGGGAGTGAAAAGCCACATTTACTCTCTTCCGTCCCGCTGTGGTCTTCCGGGGAACTTGGGATGCAGCGGGACAAGAGACGGAGGCCTCGTGACATCACATCCTCCCGACGGGGTTGATGCCCAGGATGTCAAAACACTTTGCCATGATGGCCGCCGTGGCTTCGCACAGCAGCATCCTCCACATGTTGACCTTCACCACCTCGCCTGCAGAGAGAAACAGACGGTCCAGCGGTAAACACTGCAGCTGTGCGACTTATTATTTGGAATAAAACCAGACATCCGTTTATAAAATATATGGTTTAGGGTTGAACTATTGATTTGCAGCCCCCTTCGGTTTGTGTCCTTTTCCAACAAATGTGTGTAACATTCATTCTTACTCAGTCGTCCTTCTGACGTTTGGCACAGAACCGCAAGGTGGCTTAAAAAAAATAAAACGGCACACGAGATGAAGAGAAACGAGGAGAGGAAATAAACCGACACACTGGGAGGTCAGGCAGATGGAGAACAGATGACAACAACAAACAGCGGGGGAGGAGTGGGGGGGGTCAGAGGGCGCGTTTAATGGCGGCGGCCGACCCCGCGGCACCACGACGACCCGGACATCTGTATCCACCAGCGACATGCAGGCGCGTCCACCGCCGACCGCTCAGTCCTCAGCGAGCAGCGAATTAAACAGCCCGTCTGAGGGGGGGGGGGGGGGGGAAGGGGGCGCCGTTTAATGATCCGACAGCGAGGTCGGTTTGTAATTTTCACAAGCGACGAAGAATCTCTGCAGAGACTAACAAGGCCGAGAGGACATTTTTTGGTTTGAAACCCGGCGAATGAGCAGCTTTCAAACAACACCCCGAGGTTTGAAGCGGGTTTGGGGCCCCGAGGCCTTTGTGAGGAGTTCATGAGCCGCTTTAAAACTCGATGCCGCTTCGAGTCTTTCGATATTTTCACGGAACCGAGCGCGCAATCTGACGACGCACAACCACCTCCAGCTGAGATAATGGGACTCATCATAATGAAGCGGCTCTTAACTTGAAGTGGCAGCACTTCGGTGCACCGCGGGGACGACATCCGTTGGGAGGAGTGACGGTGTTTGGATAGCAGAGGGGTCGGAATCTCTGAGGGGAACCCCCGTTTCTTTCACGTACCCGTCTTCCTGTCCTTCTCGATGCAGTAGCAGCTGTCGTAGAACTCGGTGAAGGTGGTGGCGAGCTCGTACAGGTAGTCGCAGAGCGTGTGCAGCAGAAGGTCGTCCAGGATCTTCTGCAGGATCTCCGGGAAGCGGAGGAGGCACTTCCCCAGCTTCCACTCCTTCTCGTGGTCCAGCAGGACCTCGGAGGTCTCTGCAGCCTTCCTCAGCGTGGCCTCGTCGATGTTAGCCAGACGAGCGATGGACCTGTGGGGAGCCAAAGACGCCGTTATCCAAGGGGAAAGCTTTCTTTGCCTTTTCATGCTTTTGGATGGAGAGCATCATTTGTTTGCAGGTAAAATAAATCACGGTTTCACTTCAAAGACGACTTTTAGTTGAATAAGCAGGAGGATTATAGATTTAAACACCACTGATGTTTCCATGGGATCCTTTCTTATTCATATTGTGAAATAAATAATGTAATGTTGATCCACTTCAAGAGCCTGAAGTCAAATGTTAAGAACAAAACAAAAACATAGGTGGTGAAACAGCAGCAAGAACATCTTTCCATCAGTTAGCAGAAGGAGAAATATGGAGAGAAACTTTCTTCAGAGCAAAAAGAAGAAAAAAATAAACTGCTCGGCTCACAACACGCAACCAGAGCCGAGTTAATAAACTCCTTTGTTGCTTTGATTACTGTTCGAACCGTACTGTGGATATGCATTGGAGCCCCCCCCCACACACCTGATGCGAGTGAACGCGTAGAGCAGGTACGCCGCCGTGTTGCCCCGGTCGTCCAGCATCTTGTCGAAGGAGAAGACGTAGTCGTTGACGCGGTTGTGCGAGAGGTCGGCGTACTTGACGCAGCCGAACGCGACCGACCTCTGGGCCTTGGTCAGCTCCTCGGGGGTCAGGACCTGCGGGGGGGGGCAGCGGCAAAGTTTCCTCAGAAATGAAAAGAGAAGAGGCTCCGCCTCCCTCACCTCCGTCCAATCCTCTTTCACGGCTTCAAAGCTCCGATGGCGGCGCTGCTTTTATCGGCTTGTAATTACTGCGAGCGGCGCGTCACCTTACGCCTCGGACCGCAGAAGCAGCCGTCTTTTAATCCAAATGATTAATCTAACGCAGAAGCTTGAGGACAAAGATTAAATTCCTTCCCTCGAATCGCTGGGCGGCGTGCCTGATGCCGCGGGGAGGGACGAGGGGGGTGGGGTGAGGAGCGACTTATGCAGAAAGTTTCATGACGGAGGATTTGATCTTCAGCGGAGCGACCGAGGAGACGACGGGACGTAGCGCGTCATTATAGCAGAGAATAAACAGGGCAGCTGAGGAGAGGACGTGATCATGTGACAACAAGGAAACAAAAGAACGATATTTAATCATACAGGTATGAACACTAGTTTGGG